ATGAACTGGCCGCTGCAGACGAACTTATCTTCATTTTAAAGAACGCTATGATGAGTGTAAGTGAGTAAGGGCCGAATGAGTGCAAAATTCAGCTACGTTTCTTAGAGATCCCTAATACTGCAAAATATCTCACGTGAAGGTTCAGACCACAAAGTTGTTCAAGAGCAGAACCACATTCGCGTCGAGGCAACCCAGACTAGCGGAAGTAACCATTCACATGGTACGTCTAGTGCAACTACCATAGAGATGACTAACGACAACGTGGGAGCACATTGCTCAATAAAGCCTCCCCAAGCAACGCTACCGAAATTTTATGGCAATGCAGAGGATTTGCAGGAATACTGGGCAATTTTCGAGACTCGTTCATGACAGTCATGAATTAGACGTTATGGAGAAAATCTTGCTACTGTAAGAAAGTCTCGAGGGTAAAGCACGAGCCTCCATGAAAACAAGCTGATACTACAAAATTAAGATTATTCAGACACTGAAGGAATACTGCAACCAGCCTGCAAACAGGGCACAGGTGGTGCAAAAACTCGCCAAACTTGAAACCAGCAAGCAACTTCGCCAACAGTTGCTCAGCCGTTTTCGACCCGTTTTTCCAGATATTAATTATCAGATGGTGTCCGCCGGCTATGAGGTGCGCAAAACCAATGACTCCATGTAGTGTGAAACAATACTGGCAAAGTGTTCCCACGATATAGTAAACCTGTCCTACTTTCGAATCATATGCAAGACGTGCAAACAATCGAAAGCCTCGTAGGTCATCCGAAGAGATTCACACCAAGGGTTACGTGGAGAACAGATTGGGCCACAAGCACGACATCAAGGGCACCACTCCAAAAGATAAGTAGGTGAACTCAGTCCTTACTCGAGCGACCCATGTCTGTTCTGCCATAATAATGCCTTACTGACTTGCGGAAGAGTAACCTATCAAGGAAACCGCAGAAAAAAACCAACAGATGGTCGCAGATGCTGAAAGTGTTGCTCTTCCTCTCACAACCTGCCAAAACCAGATTGTTCCAATTGTGGAGAAAAGCGTCATTTGAGCATATGCTTCAAAAAAGAAGGTACGCAGAAAAGAAATTAAGCGACTCTGAACAGTAACACTAGAAATACTACCGGTCAAAAAAATCGAAGATCGGGCCAATTTCAACGCGAGCAAGCAAACTTCGCGAATCAAGACAAACCGAGAAGAAAAACCTTAATAACATACAAATGTGTTCCAAAAATGGTTCGGCGACTTTGGAACAGAGTTCAACCCCCTAACAACTCGTCCTAATGACTGCAGAGGGTAACGTTTGGAATCATAACGATGGGGAATTCGAAAAAGTTCTTTCTTTGATTCCTGCGCTCAAAAAGCTGTCATTGAGGAAACATCCGCAGACAGGTTAGGCGTGCCGAAGGAAACCACTGCAATATTTCCAGTGTCAGGAATGGAGGGGGCCATGTCGAATGCTTCAAAAGCCACACTGTGAAGGTAAAAATAAGCTCATTGTGCGGTGAAGAACTCGAACTGAAAATTCAGACAAAAATTTAGCGAGCCAACCTATGCTCTATCGATGCTGCTTACCTGAAGGCGAACAGTATCTGCCTAAGTCGAAACTTCGTGGGGAGACCAGAAACCACATATTCTACTGGGATTAGATCATTACCATAAGCTATTAACTCTTTTAAACAGTGTCGTAGAAAGTCCCACTGGTCTCCACATAGCCAAAACTGTGTTCGGACCTACCATGCACGTATCCTATGATCTCCATTCAGGAAACATTGAACAGGAAATCCTCCAAAATTACTTGAATTGGACGGCTGGGAATAATGTCTAATGGTGTCAAAGAAATGGAAAAAAAGCAGAATACCGAGTAGAACACTCGAAAGAGGTATCTTCTCTGGCGCCATCCCCTGTAAATGACAATGTTTCTCGCTTGGAAAATAATTACGGCATGGCAATACTCCTTTTCGAGGCACTACAAGTAACACTGCAAAGAAAACCAGAGCAATGCAGTTGGTACACAGACATACTAAAGAGATACGGAAGTGAGGGTATGATATAACTTTTCTACCCAGTGTGACGGTGTAGGCCAACGTCTACTACATGCCTCATGCAGGAGTATAGAAACCAAGCAAAAAGGTTCCTCTGAAAATAGTTTCCGACGATTCCACAAAAAGGAAATGAGAACTGTCTCTGAATGACGTCATCGAGAAAGGTGGATCGTTCATCAATAAAATTCACGACATACTTTTGACGTCGCGAGCAACCAAAATCGTACTTCTGTGTGATATTGAGGCAGTATTTACCCAAATTGCAATCGTGGGTCATTAAAGGACCTATGCAGGTTCCTGTGGTTAAAAAACATCAACCACCCTCCCATAAAAGACACTATGATCTACTACCGACTTCGAAGGCTCCCCTTTGGAGTAACAGCGTCACCAAGCATACTGAATATGGCGCTAATAACTCACCTGAACAGCCAAGATTCAAACCTGGCTAAGGAAATTTCACAGAACATATACGTAGACAATATCTTAATGTTAGTCCAAAGTACGCATGAGGCTCCACGAAAATATCGAAAGTCAAAGCCCGTGTTCGCAAAGATAGGGATGAATTTGCGAGACATGTCTAATTCAACTGACGTAAACAACCTGATACCGGCAAAAGATGGACCGAAATCTGGCTCTATGGAATTGCCTGGAGTTAATTATAACACCGAGATGGACTCATTCGGTTTATCTACTCGGTTCCCAACAATGGGTACCCTTGCAAAGAAGGGCATTGTGAGCCAAATAAATTCAGTTTACGACCCTATTGGTCTACCTGGACCACTACTAGTTCGGTTCAAATCGACAATGCGGGAAATATTCAAACTGAAAGCCGACTGGAAAATAGTTCTCGCTCCACGTATTTGCGAGAGATGGAATCGATTATCTTCAGAAGTCAATAACGCTCTCATATCTGTGGAGGTGACGAAAAGCGCCTGTGGGTATTTGCCGATGCAAGCAACGCAGCGATCGCCGCTTGCGCTTATCTACAAGGTCAAACAACAGAAATCTTCTCTCCGCTTCTTCGCCGTCAACGTCATCCTGTCTCAAGAAGTCTCCCTTCAACGCCAAGCTGCCTACAAGCACCAATGAGTTGCACCATCCACTTTGTGTCTACATTGTCAACGAGCCGCACGTCCACGCCAAGCCGTCTACGTGCCACGACACGCCGTTTCTCTGATCGCAAGCTGCCAACAACCGCTCAGATCAGGAAGATTTGATGTGCATGATTTATTTTTTGTTGCCCAGTGAAAGTATCGTCGACGACAACTCCCATACTCGAGGGCTTCTCGAGAGGGCGGAGTGCGGGGTCAGGCTCGTGCTTACTTCACTGCTACCACTCACTTGCAATTTTGCTCAGCGTAGAGTCCATTCCGCCCACGCTCCTATACTCCTTATCTCGTCCGATAAATCTACCGATGTAGCACCGAACCCCGATTTCTCGAAGTTAGACCGTCTCAACGGATGGCGCAGTGCACACTGACACAATAAATCTATCCGAAACGTGGACAACGACAACTTTGAATGGAAAATAACAATCAAATAATGATACAATCGCAGAATGAAAAATGGGATCACTAGAATACTCGGGGTCCAGGAGATGAAGTCCTCGGGCCAGGTTAATGACTTCGGATTAGGTCAGTTGAAGCCGGGTGGGGAGGGGCGCAGTTTGGGCCCTTTCTGGGTTCTGCAGACAAGAAGACATCTGAAACGCTCCTTGGCCTGTTTTTATCCTCCCGCCAAAACTGCGCCTTTTGGGCGGTCGACCATTCCCTGACCTATCTACACGGGTTCGACCTCCCACATGCTACACCTCCTGACCTCTTGCTTCGAAATGGTCACCACCCAAGTCCTCAACCACTCATGCTGGTTATTAGTTCCGTGTAGATAATTTTGTATTATCAAATTTACAAAAAGATATAACGGAGGGATACGCTCAAGCTGCATTTGAACCATCCTTTCGCCATCGAATCTAACCCCGCAGCTTTAACTTCCCGCAGAACGACGCAGTTGATCCACGGCACAGCCTTCTTCTTAAGAATCCTATCAAGATTGGAAGCCAAGATCACTTCGCGAAACGTCATAATGAAACGATAGTAAGGGTCGATGGCGTGGTTCCGCAAAGAGCTAAATTCAAACAGTGGGCAGCTTGCCAAAAAGCTTGCCCTGCATTTTTTAGAGTGTAGGTCTAAGCGACAGTCCGAGGCGAAGATATGTGTCAGCGGTAAACCTAAATTATTGTCAGCTAATACTTCCATTTTTTCAGTTATACTTACCTCCACCTCTCCCTTGAATATCCATGGTCTGGGATGTGACACACCATCGCTTTAGTTGAGTTTACCAGCTGCTCGGGCCGGGCCTAATTGCTCGAAGGGGTGGGGGGACGGTCAAGTCGTGCGTCCGAGGGTGCGCGCGGCAAATTGCGCGGCGAAACCCATACCTATTCTGACGACTTTAGCGCCTATTATTTGGGCCCAATTTCGAAGTAGAGCAGAATAGTAGGATCAGCTGACCTTACTAATCTACCTTACTTCAAGTTTGGGCCCCAACGATAGGCGCCGGAGTCGTCCAAATTCGTCACGAACTTCGCCGCGCAATTTGCCGCGCGCATCCTCGCACGCACGACTTGACAGTCCCCCGCTCGAAGGCGGTGATGTTAGCGTGCGATAGGTTGCAGCGCGTGCACTTATGACAATGAAACATTTTACTTGACGTCATAAAACTAATATGTGTTTAGCTTCAAGTGTGGGCTAGCTCGTGGTTGTTTTGGTTGTGTAATTGATTTCGCTGTTTTTTTTCATGTGGGTTCAGTAGAGATTCTCCTCATACTCTTGAAATAGTGTATAGCCGCTCGAAACTTTTCCTTGGTTTTCCAAGTTGATCGGGTTCCCATGTTCGACCTAATTCATTTATTAAGTAGGTGCGTTCATATACAAATATTATCACATTTCAGTTGCAAGATGATGCAATTTATGCTGTTATTCAGTAGACAAGGGAAGCTTCGACTTCAGAAATGGTACACGGCATATCAAGATAAGGTTCGTTAAAACTCAATTTCTCTTTGTTTGCATGACACCGCAATCTATTATTGTGTGACAGAAATTGTCATTTTTTGAAGTGATATTTATTTGGTTAAGGTAGTACGTTTGATATTTTGAAATTTTGAAAATAAAGTACTAATTTAAAGCAGTATAACAGTCTGATCACAATTATGATCGTCAAGAGATCCTATGATATGAAGAATGGGACGGGGTTTTTCAGAAGAAAGGGGTCATCATTCTCCTCACAATCAACATTTGAAGCTTTTCTGCAAACCCTGTTTCTTTAGAGTTTTAACTTTTTCCATTGTAAAGCATTGTTCGTTACCAAACTAAGTGTTCTTAACAGTTCCTTTCCTTTTTCTGTATAACTATAGCCAGAAATTTGACCATAGATACTGTAGTGAATTCATTCTTCTTTTCCTGCCACTCACTTCTTACAGTTTCAGTCTGATACGATTTTTCGATTGTGGAAAAACTCAAAATTACATGTCACGTGAGCTATTGCACTAGTTTTGAGAAACTACGGCTCCGACGATAAGAAATAAATTCCGATGGATAGTTCATGTGTACTAGCATACTCCATCCTTTTAATCTATGTAACGCTTTCAGATGAAGAAGAAAATTTGTCGTGAGCTGATTACTCAAATTCTTTCGAGAAAACCCAAAATGTGTGCTTTCCTCGAGTATAAGGATCTCAAAATAGTATATAAGAGGTAAGTCGAAAACAAACTGTTTCGACTGAAATGGCTACCTTTTTGCGAATATTCATCTAGAATACCATGAAATCAAGTACAGATTCTTCACAGTGTATATTCATTAGTTTTAGCATACCCTTTGGCCGCAAGATTTGCTCCGGCACGGCCGTGGCAAATTGCCAAGCTTTTTCGTTGNGAACCCCCGCTGGCAAAGTGCCATTGGTTCCCACAGCGAAAAGCTTGGGATACGGTATATGGACAATGGGGAAGAAGTACAGTAAGGGAGAGTTCAGCAGAAAGAGGGACTTTTTGGAACTCACATTAAATTCCATGCACATTCTCATTTTTAGAAAACTCTAGCACTGTTCGGGCGACCCTTTTTTCTACTCTTGACAGCACGTTCACTCTTGCATGAGAACTGGAGTTGCAGAAAGTATACCTGTAGGTAAGTTTCAGGAAATCATGCACATAAAAATGCTTAAAGCACCCAAAGTTCCAGTGTTTTAGGCAAAATTGACCATCCCGGAAGTTTAGGTTTAATTACGCAAGTTTGAGTCTTGGATAATGCCTAACGCACGTAAGGGAAAGGCTAAAGAGGAACAGCCTGTGGTCACTCCTCGAAATCAGGCTAAGGAAGGCGAGCTTGTGTTTGGTGTTGCTCCTATGCGTCTTTCAACGACACCTTCGTCCAAGTGACTGATATATCTGGACGTGAAACTATTGTTCGAGTGACTGGTGGTATGAAGGTAAAAGCGGATCGAGATGAATCGTCTCCGTATGCGGCTATGCTTGCAGGTCAAGACGTTGCTGAAAGGTGCAAACAGTTGGGAATCAATGCCCTCCACATCAAACTTCACGCCACTGGTGGTANTGTTGTGTGAGATTCATCCACCAGCCCTACAGTCTGTCGGAGAATAAAATGTTTATCGATAATAACAAGTCTTTTTTCCTTGCCGCCCTTTTCTTTCAAAGATCATTGGCTCTTCCACGACGAAGGTATCATGGCAGGGACAGTAGCATCGTTTTCATGATCAGCCATTAACACTCCTCCACATGACGGCGATTGGCACCCCTTACGAAGACGGCGGTTCCACCATTGTCATCGACCCCGTAGTATTTTAATGCAGCGAGCTTGACCTTCCTTCTCTTGAGCTTGTTTTTGTTGGGGATCGTGTACACCATATCAGCTTCACTCCCATGGTCCGAATACCGTATTCCAAGCTTTTCGCTGTGGGAACCATTGGCACTTTGCCAGCACGGGTTCCCGGAGCGGGAAGCTGGCAATTTGCCACGGCCGTGCCGGAGCAAATCTTGCGGCCACACTCTTTAGCGAGGTAAATTCAGGTACGCATCGCTCTACTTTTGCTGTGCTATTGAGCAAACTGATAATGAACTGATATGTTTGGAAATTATTCATAGATACGTGGAGTTACTGGATAAATACTTTGGAAGCGTGAGTTGATTATTTTCCTTCGTTATTTACATTGACTCATTCTTGGAGCCTGTCCCTTTCGTGTTCCATTCACGGACCCTCTCCCTTCTTGAGAATGTTGTCATTGATATCTTGTAAACTGATTGGGGTCAATTACACTTGTTCTTGATTTTTTAGCATCTGCTTTTAGGTTTGCGAGCTTGACATCATTTTCAATTTTGAAAAGGCCTACTTTATACTCGACGAATTCTTGCTTGCTGGTGAGATTCAGGAGACAAGTAAAAAGCAAGTTCTAAAAGCGATCGCTGCTCAAGATCTCATTCAAGAGGTAGGTGAAAACTTCGTATTGTTAGTCAGCCGTTACCCTCACAAATGAGTAGCTGCTGATTAGGTGAATATTTCGTTATTTCGCATGGATTTGATACCCTGTTAGTTAAAAATATGCGATCACTTCATTTTCAGGAAGAAACGCCTCAAGGCCTGTTCGAAGACCACGGACTCGGATAAGTGATGATGGTAGTTGACATCAGTTTTATTATTATTTATTTCCCATGTTTTTTTTCTGGTTATTTAGGCATGGATGTCTCTTGAATTGATGTTGTACCGCTGTTTGCTCTTTTTCTCATTTTCTGAATTGTGTTTATTTTCGTTGACCTTCCATTGAAAAATGAATAGTCGTTTCCCTGCAATCTGTGATTATGGCTTTGGATCCCGAATATTTGTTGTATGTATGGTTCAGAGTTTTTCTTTGATTTACTTTCGGTCTGTTATTTGAAAATTTAAATAAATATGAGTATTTTACTACTTTCATATCCCGTCTCCTCTATGAGTTTTGAGGGTAATCCTCAGAAATCGGTTGTAGGTTTGTACTGTCCTTGATAGTGTGAACGGCCGGTAATCATACTATAGCAAATCTTTTCTTAGAGTTCATTTGAGTTCTTTGCAAGGTTCACTTTCGGGCGAAAGTACACATAATCTCTTCCTTCTTCTACGTACGAAACCCAGTGCACTTCATTTTATTTCCAGGCTTGTTGTTAGAATTGACAATTGTAATCAAACTGCAAACCTCCGATTTTTACTGTAGCACATCTAACCTACTGCTAGTCTTGACGAGCCTCCTTCGAACTACCCCCTCGCCGATTTTGAGTACTCTATAGAAGCCTAGGGTGTGATAATAAAGGAGCTTAGATAATGAAATGTGAAAATCCCACATTCCTTTTAAATCTTAGCTAACCAAGTATGTTTTTTGAGAATAGAAAGAAGGAATTCTACAAATTTCTGCTGAGCTATGGATGGAACTTGTACCTTTCATGTACTACTACAAAGCTGATAATGGCCGACGAACGATCACACTTCTTGTTTCATTACAGGCTGCTCCTGTTTGGAGAATAAGATCAACTGCCCTCCATCCATCCATTGTTTACATCCTCCATTTAGTGTTGAAAAGATGTATAAATAGCATTTTGAGAAATAAAAGTGGATGTGAACTCTAAGAAAGGATTCGTCGGCTCGGTGAGCCCTTGTGTCCAAAATGCATTAATGCAGTAACTCACGCAACCTGAAACACACCGCAACACAAAGTCTAAACGTTCTCTGGCGTTATTCAATCACGTTTCTGGGATTCTTTCCTGGATTCGACTTCCGTTCAGAATCGCAGTGGCGTTATGAGTGGGCATGTGTCCCGTACAATGAACTGTGACCACCTGATTTACAAGTCAGTACGTTTGTTCTCCAGACGAGTCTGGTTCCGATCAACCAGAAGGTCCAGTTCCCACAGGAATCGAAGCAATCGAATCTTGATTGGCTTGAGCAGGTGTCGATCCGAGGGTCGGTCATGTGATTGTGATAGCAGAGGCCACTTGCCACTGCACCACCTCCATCTTGTCAGTTGGACATACATACACATACCTTTGAAAAAGGCATATCAAATTGTTCTGTGAGCTTCCAGAAGCGATTGTTTTGCGCATGTTCATTATCTTCAATACTTACTATAGTCCCAATCGCCGCATGCTCAATGAGGAGTTCGATAAGTGAGCTCGGTTGATCAAATGACTATGCTAGCTGTTGTCACTTCTCGGTGGGATGTCTCGATGTGTTCAACTGCTCTATAGGTTCCCGTCGTTGTCGCATAGATAGATTGATATGCGAGCGATTAGTGCTCGTAGTTGTAATATGGTGCCTGCTGCCGTGTGGGAGAGCGCGCGAACGTCGTCTGGGCCGCCAACATTGTTAGCTACCATAAGGCGGTTTATGGCTATTCCTGCCTATTTGTTTTCCATGGCATATGCCTAGTCCGATGTTTTTTGGCCTTTAGCTCGATTAAACCGGAAATCGCTCTCTATTAACATCGTTTTACTTACATCCAATTACTTATTTGGCCGGGACCGTTGAGCTAGGGTTCTGTTGGGTTTACTGGGAGCTTTACGACCGAATACAACAAGGTTTCTTGGACGCTAAACCTCCGGTCGAGGTTGTAATGGAGTATTTACCAAAGTTCTATATTTAAAACCCAGACCTCCTTTGAGATAACGACTGAGCGATGCAGGATTCAATGGGTGTCGCTGGCCGAACCAACTGGAGTACCGATCACATTGAGCTTGGATTTAGAGCGGAAGAGGTCACGTCCCCTTGTCCTTCGGGAGGCCAGCAATCATTCCATCAAACAGGTTCCATACTGATCAAATGGGCCAAATAAGTTGAATTCTGTTCATTCTTCATTTTCAATTCATTTTCTGATTCTTAAAAAATGGACTCAAATTCAGGGGTGGAGCCAAGTACACTTCTTCTTTACATTTTACAAGAATTATCAAACAGTGGGCATCATTTAATGTATAAGAAATAGAACCGTTTGTATCGAAGTGTTACAGTGTAACGATCCGTCCTTGGTAGCGACAGTAAGGCTTTCCCACGTGTTTCCGTTCCCGACTTCCGCATTTCGCAACGCTCTGACTGTTCCTTACCTATAGAGAAGGCTGTTCCTGGTCAAATCGGAAGAGATCTCTAATTTGTGAGAAGTCTTCGAACAGTTCGTATTGGATATCCTTCTTCTGCGACCTTTTTTTTTCTGCAAAGTTTTTTTCAAAGAATCGTTCCTCCTTCCGTGTCAAAGTGGATGACGTTCCTTGGTGACATCCTCCACATCCTACGATGTCACCCAGTTCCTTTCAATTCTTTTCTGTCGTCATGTTCTCTGTGAAAACGATCCGATTGCATGTGTCTTTGAATGAGGCTGGCTGTTTCACAAACACGACGGGGTGCCTGATCGGTTCGGCATCGCTCTTCGTTTGTCACTGATCATTGCGCAGCCGTTTATCACTTGATATGTGGCAGCAGCCACCCCTTTAATGGGAGTGCTACTGTCACTGGACATCCGCTATTACTTTGAAAGGACGTTTTATACCGACTACCATCGAAGGATGGGCCCAGTCAGAATGGCGGTCGCTAGGCTGACCTTTTCAACTCCTCCTTTCATAAAAATTTTCTCAGAACTTTGCGAATTCCACCGAAGCTATGTTTCGGAAAGTCTGATTAGCTGATTTGTTCTCAGATTTCTCTGATCAACAAGATTCCCACAGCAGAAGCTTTTCTCTTATTCACCGATATAGTTCCGTACTGCGGTAAAAGAAAACAAAAAAAAAACAGGTTTGGTAGCCGTAGATTACGCCATTTGAAACTTCCTCTGTAGGTTGAAATAGTGCTGGATCGAATGGTTCTTTGGACTTTTTTCCTTCGTCTTTCCAAGTTTCAAAGAAAATAAACAAAGTTCAGGCCAAGTTTTTTCAAAATGGACCTTCTTTCATCTACGCATCTGCTTTTTTGAACATTGAATTATTCACTTTCACTTCACATTATTCACATGAATTCACTGAGTCAGCTTGTTTGGAGAGCCTTTAGAATCTACATTACGTGGAGTTCTTATTTTTCAACTTTTTGCAAAACTTCATTTCCGCTTCCTTAAGAGTATTTGTGAGAGCAATCTGGTATTTTTAGTATTTTCTGAATATTTTACTGGATTATATATAAGACAGCTGAAAGTTCTTTCTCAGAAATCCAAGTTTGCAAGAACTCCTTCTTGTTAACTAATCAATACTGTATTTTACAAAAATGAATTTTTTTGATCCCACTGCTATTACTGCCTATTGTTAGATGCTGTTGACCTCTTAGTTCATATCGGTCAGCACAAAAGCATTTCTAAGGAAAAGTACGAAAAAAATCTCAATAAAAGTGAACTAAGTGCAGCAAACAGCCCAAAGTTATCTGTCTGTAATCGAATAACTCACCACTTAATTAACCCTATCATTTATGAAAGTCTATTTCTTCACATAGGTGTTTCGAGAGATTCTTTCATCATTTTTTTTT